TTCCCGAAAGCGACCGTAATGCTTAAGTGATCACATTGTGGACGCACATTTGTCATGTATGGGAACAAGAGGATATAATCTCTTAATGTCCTTCGGGCTACTACGAAATCCAGAATGAATTATGCCTTCAAGAGCTGCTCATAAAAAGTTTGAATAATTAGCGGGAGGGCGCTCCTGTGGTACAATAAGTCAACAGAAGATGAGGAAAGGCAAGCCCGGAAAAGAAAACTAAAGTGATGCAATGACGAAAATCATCATACTTGAAAACACACTCATGAGAAGTGTGTTATGCTAGCATGACTTGTTCGTCATCTTCCGCCCACAGCCTTAAGTAAGAGAACTCGCTTTTGAGGGTCCCAGCTTGCTGCCGTCACGTTAGAATGATCATACTATTGTCACTGTAGTTGAAAATATATGGGCTCATATGCTGTTGCTGATATGCCTGACTGACGAGACAGTGCAAAACGTCCGAGCTGGAAGATTTTATTTCTTCAGCATCTTACTGACATTAAAAATTTTGAATGAAGAGAATCAAACGAGTAGAACCATATTTCATGATTTGTAGGGTCTGAAGTGAAGCCCAATTAAATGAGTCACGGCTTTATAAGTTTACTTATTTTTATTGTGTGATTATTTCATATCTTTTCAGCCATGACTTAAAAGATTCTCATTGTTCGATATTATTAATGGACATCATTCAGAACAATCACTATCTTTTGGAAGTGACCCACATTCAGACCAGTGTATAATTCATGTTGTCATAATGGCTTGTGTTTTATTAGTGGGTGCTAAAGTGCTGCCAGGGCTCCTATTGGAATCAGCGCTACGATTAATAGAACTATAAACTATGGTTATGATTCCAGAGAGGATTTTAATGGTTCTTTTGGAATCATAGCTATGATTAACAGCACTGTAAACCAATCAATTCTAAGGTCTCTACTAAAATGATTATCAGGATATCATTAGTATTACTACTAATTCTAATACTACAAAGTCCTAGCTTATACGTCGGTGTACTAGCTCAATTGAAACCACCAGAAACAAAGCGCACCAGCGTGTTCTTGTCTCGTGCAAGTAGGGGCTTCTCTCTTACCTCTGCTGTTCCTTTCATAGCTCATAGAGGTAGGTGTATACTCGTATACACCCATTTGCTAGGCTCTTGTTCCGATTCATGGTTCAAAGAACGCGGCATATAAATGTGGACGTTCCTGTTTTGCAGGATCTTGCAGCGCTTTGTCTCGTTTCCTGGATTAAAGAACGAAGCATATACTCGTGTACTGTCCTTGTTTCGCAGGGCTTTTGCCCCGTTTCATAGCTTTACCGTGCATGTTTCGACTCCTGGCTTGCTAGTCTCGAATTAGGGCCCGGGGGACTTGGGGGTTTAAAGCCGACGAATTATGTTACGTGTGTACCGTGCTTGTTTCGACTCATGGCTTTAAGAACAAGTTATGCCATTCGCTAAGCGTGCTCGTTGAGAACTCATTGCTTTAAGAACGAGTTATGTTTTTTGTGTACCGTGCTTGTTTCGACTCATGGCTCGACTCATGGCTTTAAGCCGAGTTATGTTGCATGTTAGGCTTGCCAGTCTCGACTTAGGGTTTAAAGAACGACTTATGTTACACGTGCAGTGTGCTTGTTTTGACTTACGGCCCGGCTTCCTAAGATTTCATCGATGTGTTTCCAGTGGATCCGATGGACCCCATCCGACGATTTTTTAACCCTCCCCAAAGTATTGTTTACACTTCCGGTTTCATCTTAGGATTAAACTTCCGGTAACCCAAGTGGACTCTACTGTACTTCTGGTTTCATTTTTCGACTAGACTCGGGTTTTGTCCACTGGAATCTGGTCGAGAGCATTGGACTGATGTGTGTCTCACTGGGGTACCTCTGCATGCACAACTTATATTTTATAACTGAGGCTAGAGCCTCTGTACGGGTATCTTCAGGCGTCGCTTTCGTCGCGCGTTTTCCATCAAATCTTCGATTTTTTTTAACGAAATCATCGCTTGTATATCAATAATTTCTTTGCGTGGTAGCGCTCCTCACCAGCTCACTAGGGAGCAAGAACGCTAAAAAAGAGGTTTCAAAAGCCCACAAAAAACCTCTGAACAAACAGCGCAGCTTTATTATAACCTTGTCAACCTTGATCTTATTTTAATTAATAGATAAAACAGAGCCTTTTTTTCCTCAATATAGCAATGGTGGCAACTTCGATTTCATCGGAAATATTACATGTGACAACTGTCCCTGATTCGGTCCTAGCCTGACACTTGTCTTGTCTCAATAGTTGTGCAAATTAATAGACTGCAAACAAACAAATGTAAGTAAACGAAACAACAGGGCAAAGCCCCCCCCCCCTCCCCCCCAAAAAAACTCCTACTGCACCTTACTGCACTATGGTTTTGCTTCCCGCGCACCTTATGCAAATCAAATGCAAATCAACCTAGCCTGGCTGATCATGGCTTTTGTTGGAAAGCCGCATTGAACGTGGGCTCTACTTGCGAAAATTGACAAACGGCACGTGCAAAGGATAATGGAAACCAAAGCAAAAATAGCTAAAGTTGAGGTAATGTACCTGTTTTCCGTGTTATTATCCCTATCTGCAAAATACCTAATGCTTATTGTTGCCTTAGCAGTCATCTAACGGAATGGAAGTCGATTCTTCAACGATCAACCATGTAGAAGGAGACAGCGAGGAGCAAAGTCTGAAACACTCGTCTTCGAAAAAGCCAGATTCTCGACCGACTGCTTCAGAAATGACCAGTGCCGATTATTACTTCGATTCTTACGCTCATTTCGGTAGGTAGCACCTGGTAGATCTTATTTTTTAGTCGTTTTAATGATCAAGTACTCACTGCGATTGTTTTGTTTATATCTTGACTTCAAATGATTCACGGAACTTCTGCATCCACCGTCACCATTAGGCATTCACGAGGTGAGTAGAATGCAAAAATGTTGTGTCAAAACATTAACAAATATCAATGAATGTTGAATGTGTGTTTTTATCGTCTCAACCTCCGTGATACTCAAAGTCGTTTTGCCCATGTTTGTTGTTGTGGATACATGTGCTACCGGTCTGTAGCAGCTGCGAATTTGTGAATGCTGAAAATTGATCGAAGCTGTTTCGTCTAATTGCTTGCTAACTTGAGCAGATATATGCCTAGAAGATAGGTTTTTTGTCAGCCTTACAGTGGCTATCCCGGGAGGGGGGGGAGGGGAGTTGATCACGGGTAACCCCTGGGCATTCCACAATTTAATACGTTTGCAAATCCCCCCCCCCCAAAAAAAAAGACTTGCAGAATGTAAAATGATTTTAAAACGTGTGAACTGGTTTAGCTTTGTCAGCCAATGTCTTATAAATGTACATGGTTTTCTGTTTGACAGGCAAATTTTTTTATCAATATTTTCTGATAAAATTGATATCCAGTAAAAAGTAACACAAAATCAAAGGCAGTGTAATTCTTTTTGTAACGACAAAATGGCAGGTGTCCAGGTAGTATAGTAAGCAACTTTGGACTTTCTTTGACCCTGTCTCAACCTTCCCTTTGGCAAGGAATTCCTGTCATCTTGTGGCCTGCGTAGCTAGAATTGAAATCCGTGCCGTTTCAGAGCAAAGAACGAGGAACGAGATCAGGCAAAAAAACGGCGCGAGTAAAAGTAGCAGGGAGGGGGAAGGGAGTAAAGGTAAGGAAATGCTTGCAGACAAACCCCAGGATTTTGAAAACCGCCCACTTGGCCTGTCATGCCTGAGTGCGTNAAATGACCAGTGCCGATTATTACTTCGATTCTTACGCTCATTTCGGTAGGTAGCACCTGGTAGATCTTATTTTTTAGTCGTTTTAATGATCAAGTACTCACTGCGATTGTTTTGTTTATATCTTGACTTCAAATGATTCACGGAACTTCTGCATCCACCGTCACCATTAGGCATTCACGAGGTGAGTAGAATGCAAAAATGTTGTGTCAAAACATTAACAAATATCAATGAATGTTGAATGTGTGTTTTTATCGTCTCAACCTCCGTGATACTCAAAGTCGTTTTGCCCATGTTTGTTGTTGTGGATACATGTGCTACCGGTCTGTAGCAGCTGCGAATTTGTGAATGCTGAAAATTGATCGAAGCTGTTTCGTCTAATTGCTTGCTAACTTGAGCAGATATATGCCTAGAAGATAGGTTTTTTGTCAGCCTTACAGTGGCTATCCCGGGAGGGGGGGGAGGGGAGTTGATCACGGGTAACCCCTGGGCATTCCACAATTTAATACGTTTGCAAATCCCCCCCCCCCAAAAAAAAAGACTTGCAGAATGTAAAATGATTTTAAAACGTGTGAACTGGTTTAGCTTTGTCAGCCAATGTCTTATAAATGTACATGGTTTTCTGTTTGACAGGCAAATTTTTTTATCAATATTTTCTGATAAAATTGATATCCAGTAAAAAGTAACACAAAATCAAAGGCAGTGTAATTCTTTTTGTAACGACAAAATGGCAGGTGTCCAGGTAGTATAGTAAGCAACTTTGGACTTTCTTTGACCCTGTCTCAACCTTCCCTTTGGCAAGGAATTCCTGTCATCTTGTGGCCTGCGTAGCTAGAATTGAAATCCGTGCCGTTTCAGAGCAAAGAACGAGGAACGAGATCAGGCAAAAAAACGGCGCGAGTAAAAGTAGCAGGGAGGGGGAAGGGAGTAAAGGTAAGGAAATGCTTGCAGACAAACCCCAGGATTTTGAAAACCGCCCACTTGGCCTGTCATGCCTGAGTGCGTGCACTGACATTTGATGCTATCATCAGCTGTCATAAATTGACCAATAAAATGTTTGGCCCTCCGTGGGAGCGGAAGTGAACTTTTGAGGATGCATGTGAACCCAAAATATAGTTTCTTTGTATTTGGGAAGCAACACGTAGATGGCGGGAATGGAGAAGTCTCAATTAATCCAAACAATCAATGCAGGCTTTGTAATTGCAGCTTCAAGGGTAAATTTATCTTCTTAATCCGTCTCAAAGGAAGGTCCGCCGGGTTATGTTTTGAAGTTTTAGCTCAAAACCTCCAGGAAGATTTTAGGTGGTAAAATGTGACAAACAGGTCAAAGCTCAGCTTGACAAAATGGCATATCATTCTTGCCACGGTACAGAACGACTAGAGTTGCTCTTGTAAAAGCAACTAAGAACAAAACCAACCCAGCAACTGATGAAGTTTGAGTGGAGAACCAAACCCATGGTCTTGCAAGTTTAATTAGACAAAATATGCCTAGAGTTAATTATACATCCTCTGAAATGAGTATGTCCAGCAATGTGACAGTAGGTTAAATTGCGAAAAGCAGTTGGAACATCCATTCTATTTCAAAATCATTGCATGCATCATTTTCAAGTGCAAAGTTATGTACATGAATGTAATGAGCTGTGACGTACCCCAACTTAAATGTACCTTCAAGAGTATTTTTTTTTCACATTTAACAGGAAATGATCAAAGATGAAGTGCGCACGACAACATACCGGAATGCAATGTACTATAACAGACACCTGTTTCGTGATAAGGTTGTTCTTGATGTGGGATGTGGAACAGGGATTTTGTCAATGTTTGCTGCTAAGGCTGGAGCAAAGCATGTATATGCTGTGAGTACTATTGTACTTTGAAGACTATTTTTTTCTCAGTTACAATGATGAATAATCAATCCTTGAAATACATCTCAAGCTAATTGCAGGCCATTTAATTAAGACATGAGAGATATCTCTATTTTACCCCCATTCTACAAAAAAAATTTAACTGCATGACTTACAGATGAATAGAGCTCGACAGTATTCATGAATTTGCAGACTTATATAAATGTTGCTCTGTACTGTTCATGTAATGTAAATAATTAATTTTGCAATTTGATATACATGGCTCATTTCATAGTTTAATCATATTCTTGTATGTATTTCACTAGCCATATCATTAGCTCTTATACTCATTCATATTGATGTAAAACTTCTATATTTCCTTAGTTTTATTTATTTTGTACTTATTTAAACTTTGTATATTCTGAATCTTATGCTTTTTATAATTTTAATTTTGATAGAGGGCCACAAGTTTACTAGTTGCTGTAACTATTTCATGCTACCCTCTTTTGATAAATTGTATTATTATTATTATTATTATTATTATTATTATTAATGGCTATACACTACCATAAGTTGATTTTCCTCTCCTGTAAGTGATCTTTCAGGTCGAAATGGAGGTGAAAACAAAAAATTCTGTTAAAACCACAATAAGGTTGTTTTATTCCATACAGTACTGAAATCAACTTAATCTACTTGCAGCAGTTTGTCCAGTGTTTTTGGTAGTGGCAGTGACTAACAGTAATATTGAATTACAGGTATTACATGTTTCCACTCTGTTTTTGTTTACAGGTTGACTTTTCTTCTATTATTGATTACGCCAAACAAATAATCAAAGACAACAACTTTGAAGGAGGTAAACATTACTGTTAGACGTTTTCCACACAGTGAGGTTGTTTTCCTCATAATATGTTGTAACATTTTTGCAAAGTTTTTTTACATCTTTCTCGCATCCTATGTGTATCAGATGTCCTGTTTCTTATGCATATCAGAATCGTTTGAGATGTTTACACTGTAGTTAAATTTCAAAGTTGTTTTGTTCATCTCTTCAACCAATAACTCAATTCAAGGAAACAAAATCAGACAAAAGGTAATGCCAAATGCTCTGTGGGTGAATTAAAGGACACGTAAAAATCCCAGTAACTGTGGGCTGCTAAGAAAAAAAGGCCTGGTTGCCTTGCCTCTTAATTAAATGCATATTAAATTCTGTGATGTCTGAAAGAAACCCTTACTGGATTTGCGGATAAATGTTTTCGAATTAATTTGTATTATTTTATTTGTACTTGTAGTCATCACCCTTATTAAAGGCAAAATTGAAGAAATTGAACTGCCTGTTGAAAAGGTTGATATCATTATTAGTGAATGGATGGGATACTGTCTGTTGTATGAATCCATGTTGGACACTGTGTTATTTGCCAGGGACAAATGGCTGGTGAGTGGCCATCTAATTACCATACTTAGACAACTACATCTATCTCAGGCAATGACCTCCTTTTTAACTCCAAAATACTTGTAGATTATGGAGTACAAAATAATAATAATAATAATGATGATGATGATGATAATGATGTGTTTAATGTTCCCGTTGCTATTATGTATGCATGCACAGCACATATAGTCAGCTTTGTTAGTCTCGCTTGGGCAAGCAGTGAGACTCATAATCTACTTAATACAAAGAAAATAAAACCACTTGCACACAAAATGACGGTTGTGGTCCCAGGTATTTGTGGCGGCGATTTTGAAAACTGGGATTAAGAATTTTTGTGTGACTGAAGCCACGCATGTTTTGCAAAGAATGCTTAGGAAAGATTAAATTTGGAGCTTTTCTGGAATGGGTCAGTCCACGAATTCTATCGGCTGGAAAGCATTGATTACTTTGGAATAAGTGAACACTAGGTCGAAAATAAAAGAAGAATCTTAATTAGCAAAAACTTTGATCATGAGTGTTGTAAACTTTCATTGTATGCAAATGAGTCTAATGTGATGCAATATTTTCGGTGATGGTTGAAATGACGCGCCATGTTCTCATCACATTTCTCTCAAATCAAGGTCCTTCAATTTGCGTGTAATTATACAGGCATGTAGGCTGTGACTGCAGACGTATTTCCAGTTGTCTCTAACACGCATACTAAATCAATTCAGAAACAAATCGTCGAATACAGTATAAAAAGTACCATTGATAAATTAAAGTAGGAAGTGTAAAAGCTTTAGCGGGTAAATTATCGTGTTTCGTGGTTAATTAATCACCTCATTTCTTTATCTTATCTAGTCTCCAAGCAAGCAAGACTAAATGCCAGTTTTAAGAGCGTTCTTGTTTATAATCCCAATCTGCTCACGCGCATTTGGATCTTCCATTACTCGTATTTTTGACCATCTACGTGTGAAACTTAGATGCAAAGTATTTTGTCTCTTGCACTCCTTAACCTTTAATTATTACTAGTAATAGTAATAATAATAATAATGGTAGTGATAATAATACATGTATAAAAATGTTCAATGTACATGTAGCTCCTTTTTCAGTCCTTATACCATGCAAAGCATTTATACAAATTTAAATTTACTACACCCCAAGTTCCAGACAATTCATCGATTACTTGGTGACAATTTTCTTGACTACAAGGTTAACTGTTGAAACTGCCGTGAATGAATCTTTTTTCTGATGATGGAGTTGAGTTTAGTAAAGAAAGGCTGCACTCCTGTAAAGTACTGTGAGGAGAATATTTTTTCTTTTTAATGCTAATGGCCCAACGAAAGTTACAGGTATGTCACTGTACCTGATTGTAGCTCACATGTTACCATCTTCACTTAATTGCAGAAACCGGGTGGGCTATTGTTTCCAGACAAAGCACAACTGTTTGTCTGTGCCATTGAAGACAGGCAGTACAAAGAAGATAAAATCTATTGTAGGTTGTTGTTGTTGTTTACTTCCTCTCTTCTGGTTGATTTAGCTGTTTATAACCATTTTTAGCTTAAATCCTGTACAGTTCTTTGGTTCTGTTGCTTTTGTTTGCCTTTTCTCATCCGCATTTGTTTCCCTGTTGTCTTTGTGTACCTGTTATGCTTCCTTTTTTTTTTATCAAAAACCTGAGTCATGTTCTAATGCAAGCTTTGAAGTTGTACTTTCCTGTCATACTTTTTATTACTGATGTGCATTATTAATTTATTTTTTGTCCACTGGGTGCTTTTACACAGTCAGTAATTTTATTAGGCTTCCATTGTAAGTAAGTTGTTTGCAGATGAAGTAGTACAGGCACGGGGCTGCTCATCATGCAGTGTTGTCCTGCATGTTGTGATTCTGGCCAGAGTGATTACAGCTAGTGCAAACATAAAAATTGTGCATGTACATATATAGTAGTTTTAAGCAAGATTTCTTAAAATGAATGACCTTTTTGCAGGGTGGGACAATGTATATGGCTTTGACATGAGTTGCATCAGAAACGTGGCCTTAACTGAACCGTTAGTTGATGTAGTGGAGGCAAAACAAGTGGTCACTAACTCATGTGTAGTGAAGGTAAGGCTAATGCACGTAGTAGGTGACACCCACATGTTCAAGTATATGTAAGGGGCTACTATACATGTACAGTGTAGGTACCATATGTGTATGATGTTTTTTGATGGTATTGCAAATAGGTTTACTTTTTCTTGCAACACTCGAAAGAGTGTTACGAAACATTCATTGTACATATAGGATATGCATACAAAGATGTATATATAACAAAAATAAGGTCCAGTGAAGCATAATAATATTATTTTCTTAACTACAGCTGTATATGTACCTTCAGGGTTTTGGATAATATATACAGCGCTAGCTGTACCTGTAGTCTGTATTTGTGATGTAGACTTCAGTACTTTGCTACATAGCCACTACAAGTACATTGTATGACCAAGCTTGAATACTTAATTTTTGTAATAAATGTAATTGAAAAGGAATTTTTTTTCTGCAACAGGAAATTGACCTGCATACAGTGAAGAAGGAAGACCTATCATTCAGTTCCCCTTTCCAGCTGTACTGTCGACGAAATGACTACATCCATGCTCTTGTTGCTTTCTTTACTATTGAGTTTACACACTGCCACAAAAGAACGGGATTCTCTACTGGTAAATCATCTTCTGTATACAAAATGTCTGGGGCCATTTTTCATGCATAAAGTTACACTTTACCTTCATGTTATATAGCACAGTGATAACTAAAATGTAGCGTGACTTCTTGCATCGAGAAAAATGTATTTTTTGATGCAACAGGTTACTCTAATTTTCCTGGTACAACAGGTCACACTTCATTTTCAAATTATGCAGCACGCTGAGGGCCACAGTTACCTCTTTTTATTTTGCCAAATTTCTTTTGACTAGAAAAAAAAATAGAGTGATAAAAATTAATGACAAGCAAAGACAAGAGTATAATAGACTCTTTTTGTTTGAGAACTTGAATCAAACAGTATTTTTGTATCCCACCTTCAGAATTATTGTTTTTCTTACAGACATTATGGACTTATGAAGTGCTTACATGGTGTTTCAGTTTCTATGGAAACAGAAAAATAGTTGTTTGGTGCAGTCACACCCTGTGCATGACTTCAAGAGTTCAATATTAATGTTAGTGTTTTATTATAGCTCCTGACTGCCACTATACCCACTGGAAGCAAACTGTATTCTATCTTCACGACTACCTGACTGTCAAATATGGGGAAGAATTAATAGGAGAATTCAAAATGAAACCTAACCCAAGAAATAATGTAAGTACATGAATACACATCTTTGTCACTGCTGGTCCTGTTTTTAATGCACTTCCATATCTCAGTGTATTCCAATGAAGACAAAATTATTTCTTTATTATTTTCTTTAGTTTTTAATGCACTTCCATATCTCAGTGTATTCCAATGAAGACAAAATTATTTCTTTATTATTTTCTCATGAACTAAGGAGTCATCTAATTTGAACCCCAGGAGGGCTGGGTACAAGTCTGTTTATTGTGGGATAAACAAAATGAGACCCTCGGCTTGAAATTAGGCAATAATGTTATATTGTCAGGGTTCGCACACACCTTGTAGGTCCTTGAAGGTCCTTGAATTTTAAGATAAAAATTCAAGGCCTTGAAAGTCCTTGAAAATTGCAGTCAGTGCTGGTAAGTCCTTGAATTTTAATGCTAAGTTTATACTTAAAAGAAAAAGGAGCAACAGAGAAAGACTTTCGGGATAAAATTACTCACATGTGGATGAACTAAAAAAGACATGGATTCAAGGCTCTTTTTTTGCACTGAATGTGTGATTAGGAGCAAAGATGAAATATGCCATGGAGTCCTTGAAAAGTGGCAAATGTGTCCTTGAAGTTTTTGTTCAAAAAAGGGGAGTGAACCCTGTATTGTTATTGAGAGACTTTTCTTGAAATCTGATTTCAGCGTGATCTGGATTTTAACATCAGTGTGGACTTCAGTGGCGAGCTCTGTAACTATCAATCTACAGCTAACTACAGAATGCGATAGTCGGGTTTAGAAATTAATTGTACTTGTAGATGTACAGTAACAAGAGGCTAGCTATTGATAAGAGGGTGCTGCAGGCTGGCATCAATTTGCGGTTACACAACTATAGGCTAGAAGAGTTATAAGATTTAAGTCAGTGAGATGAGTAGTAAGTAAGGTAAGGGGAAGACAGAATGTACTCCCTCCTTGGGAAGTCCTCCTCTTCTGCTCCTTTGCCAACAGCATCAACTTCACTCCTTGTTTTGTAAAAAAAAAATAAATTCAACCCTTGTTACAGCGTGATAGAGAAAACAGTAACTTAAAGCTAATTCAATTCAAACAAACGTGCCATCATACTGAGCTAAATTATTATTTTACTTTGTACTGCCAAAAAATATCACCCACTGTGAAAATTAATTTTATAATAATAAGCCAACGATAGCCTGCATTGCAGCCAGCCCACACACTCGTCTAAACGATATTAATATAGTCGAACACGATATCGTGCACCAGGGGCAGATCTAGGGGGAGGGTGGAGGGGGTGCACATGCACCCCCCCCCCTCTGAGATGACCTGCGGTTTTCTAATACAACTGGTATTCTGAAAAAAAAAGCTATGTGGTTTATTGGTGTTGGAGTAGAGCAAGAGACGAGTGCACCCCCTCCTAAAAAAAATCCTGGATCCGCCCCTGTGCACTAATTTGCAGACACTCTATACAGAAGGTTTAAAGCGTCTGCATCGCAGGCAAGCCAACAAACATGCTGAAACAGTTCTGATAAAAATTAATATTGGTTTGTTCTAAAAGGGTTTGTTATGATTTCCTCTTGGAGTAAAAAAGTAAAATCTCCTCGCACAGTGGAACAATTAACACTAAAACAAACTAAGTCATGTATGTTTCAGTTAGAGAGAAGCCTCTTTTCTTTTGCTTCGTAATATTATGTTTATTCTTGAAGAGGTGGTTGAAACAGATTCAAAGGAAACAAAAGTCTTCCACTACAAATAAAATGTAGCCCTGAATTTAACCTATACGTATTGAAGTGCACTGTTCGAGGCTCGACAGGAACATTTCGTTAGGTTGTCAGGGCTACATTTTCTTTGTTGTGGAGGGCCAAAGTTTTGTTTCCTGTGAAGTTGTTTCTTTGTGGTTGAATTCTGAAAGCCACACTTGTTGAATTTGGCACACCGTAGTAAAAGGGGAAATATATTTAAGAAATGAGACTCTATTCTCCAAATAACATCCTTAAACATAAGGTGCTGTATAATTTTGCGATCCAGTTTCATGTATCATATTGGCAGTACAGTATTTCTTCGCTTCTTACATGTGCGCACCATTTAGGTATAGCCTGCCTTGATAAGGAACAATTACTACCCAAGATGTGTATAACACGTCAAACCATCTCAAAAGTTTATTTTTCCCTTTATACGTAAGGTAAGTCCATGCCCTGTTTGAGACAGAGGGATACATGTATGCCGTCGCCATTTTTGTGCAGGTGGACGGTTGGGAGGGGGGTGTTGACTGAAGAGATGCCGTTTAAAACTGTTTCGCAAGTAAGGGTTGCAACTTATACATGAAGGGTACTTCTTAGTTAGCAACGGATGCATGCCAATATGGCTGGTCTGTTATCATGTGATATAGCAATAATGTGGAGGCGTTACAGCTCAATCGGATTATTTTACCGTCATGAATTTATCATTCTACCACTCGAGTTAAGTTTAATATAGTATAAATTTTGATGAGTTAGAAGTTGTAATAATGCATTGGCTGACCTGCTACTGTATGCATGGAGAGTCCTTGGCCAGTTCAAAACACGTTCGTACACGTACTTAGCTTCATGCGCGCGGTACGCGAAAGTTATTACTTCTGAAGGCTCGTAGCAACCCGTGAACAGGCTCTGCCGAATTGAGGGAAAGGCGGGGTGGGGGGGGGGGGGGGGGAGGGAAAGGGATGACTTCCGTATGGCTGGCCTGTGACGGGGATATTTGTCTGAAAATTA